AAATGCACTCCAGTACATTCTTAGGATAGCAGTTGTCTGTTGTGTGGTTTTCATCAGGTTATAGTAAACTAATATAGTAAAATAATCCCATTCGTCAGTATTGTTCCCTTTCGTTCAGGAACTCCTACGTCTCGTCAGAGGAGTTTCCAACAAATTGGGATCATCACGCTAGAGAGACCAAAATCCTTTGAGTGAATTAAAACAAGCCAATGAATGTTGGCATGCAGGACTTGCATTCCGCGCCCTGTCTGCCAGTGCGGGTATAAAGCGGAAGTGAGCGCAGACACATATGCTTTTATCTTCGGAGCCGACCGGTTGTGTCATGAGCGGATGAGTGGATGAGCTTCAAGTTTAGTAATTCATCTTCACGCTCAAGGAGTCTGCTGTTTTCTCCGAGACCTCTCTGTATTGGTGTGACGGCACTTCAGCGTTCTTCGTGATGTCCTGGGTACCAGCTGCTGCTTCCTTTTTTTCAAAGAGCTGTTGTCACAGCTGGTATTCGGTTGGGTGCGCACAGCGGGCTTGCAGTTTCCCCGCTGTGTTGCCACGTTTATCCCTGTGTGCTTCAGCACAATAAGAGAGCGTTTTCTGTGAAAAGAGCAACACGGGTGAAGATTGCGTCCTTTTCAGGATGACGTTTCATCCGTGTGTTTCTGGATGCGGTGGTTTCCTGTCCTCATTTGACGGCCACGATCACTGTTTCACGTGCCTGGGCTTAAGCATGTGGAGACTGCGTTCGTGGGTGTTTTATGTTCTCTCATGAGAGCATGACCATGTCAGGACGTTGTTCGTCTCCCCTTACTCATAAAGGCTTGAGCCACTCAGCATGCCGTGTGCTGTCGAGCTGCGCGGGTTGTCACGGCAACCCAGCGTGCGTCATTCGGCGCTCTAGATGCACGGTCAAGACTCAAGTGCCTCAAACGACGTGGAGTCCGTTTGCCTATTCCCCGATCTAGTACCTCTTCTGGTGGCCACTGTAAAAGGGCTACTTTGGTTAATAGTATTGATTATCTGACGATTACAGTGAGCGTTCTCCGACGAGACCACCTCCTCGGACCCCTCACTCCTCTAGCAAATCGGCATGCTGAGACTGTGTTCGTGGGTGGTTTATGCTGTCTTATGAGAGCATGACCACGTGAGCACGTTGTTCGTCTTGCCTTTCTCGCGAGGGGTTGAGCGCTCACCGTGCATGCCTAGCAGCTTTCGGGTGGAATTTCTGATCCTTCTCATGAGGTAACATCTATTTCATTCGGGGCTCCAGGGGAGGATCAGATGTTGATTGCTGCAACATGAGGGCTGTTACACTCTGGAAATGATGATGCTGAGTCCCCCCTGTAATGGTTTGTGTACTCATGCTAAACCAGAGTCGGACTTGACAGCCACACTTACCAGGCTACTCTGGGGGCATAGGGCGATGCACAATCGCCTTACCCCACCCCCGTGCCTGCCCGGATGTTTGTGAAAAAACTTTAACAGTATGGAAGCTTTTGGCACCAATGGGGAAAACCAAACATGGCAAAATCAAGAGTTTTTTTTTCCTCTCTCACTACCCTTGGTGGTAGGGTGGCTTTGCTAATGGCAGACCACCTCTTCTCCACATCATGTCTGTGTGAGGCCAAAACACGCAGTACACAACGGTAGTTCTGAGTCGGGGTTGAGCTGTGCATTGTGACTGACCAAGAAAATGAAATCACAGCACTGGCCCTCGATCAGACGATGTCCACACTGGTGGCCCATAACATTCCCACGGCTAAACTTTACAGAGGTGCAAGACATTGCCAAAGTTAGTTTTCTCGGTGCTCCTATCTCACAAGGTTTGGCTTTTTCAGCGACACTGTTGGAGACTGTGCCCAGCGGCCCTCCACAGTTCAGAAACAGGTTGAGGAGACCAATAGCTTGACCCGAAGTGCTACTCGTGGTTTCGCCTCAGTTGGTTTGTCGCCAAGGGTGCCAAGGGTGCCAAAGGGTGTCCTCTGGAATGGATGTCACAGCCAGCTCTATTGTGACATCTAGCTTTCGCAGGAAGATTGCGTCCCCTGTCTCAGCAGCCCTGTCCTCACCTCTCCCTCCCCCGGAGGAGGGCCTGGTGGAGAATCTTTGTTCATTTTCTGTTCCACCACTGCCTCCCCAGAGTCCAGTGGTACCCACATTATCAATAGGGCAATTTCTTCCATCTCTGGGTCACAAGATGGGTTGGAGTGAAGGCTGTCCACCTTCAAAGTTTATTTTGCCGCATTAGCCGTTCATCAAAATACAGTAGATGGGAAGTCATTAAGAAAGCATGACAGGTCATCAGATTCCTTAAGGGTGCTAGGAGGCTAAATCCGCTTCATAATCCGCACCCTGTACCCTCTTGGTAACTCTAGTGCTCAGAGCGCTCTAGAAGCCCTCTTTTGAACCCATAAATATGACAGAGTTAAATATCTTGACTAAGAAGACAGCTTTCCTGTTGGCTCTGGCCTCTTTCAAGAGGGTCGGGCATCTGCAGGCATTTTCGGTTAATGAATTGTGCCTGGAGTTTGGACCAGGTTTTTCTCAAGTTATTTGGAGACCCCGGTTCGTATATGTGCCAAGGTTCCTACCTCTCCGTTTGTAGATCAGGTAGTGAACCTGCAAGCGCTGCCCCCAGAGGAGGTATACCCAGACATAGCTTTTCTCTATCCCATACACGCTCTACATTGTTATGTGGACAGAACGCAAAACTTTAGGACCTCAGAGCAGCCCTTTGTCTGTTACAGAGGCCAGCAGAAGGGGAAGGCTGTCTCCTAACAGAGATTAGCCCACTGGCTAGTGGATGTTATTGTCCGCTGCCTTGCCCACCTAGGTTGACGGCACACTCCACTAGGAGTGTCGCCTCCTCCTATGTGCTGGTGCAAGGCGCCTCGCTGGCAGACATCTGTAGAGCTGTGGGCTAGGCGATACCTAACACGTTCGCTAGATTTTATAGCTTACGTGTTTCCTCAGGTGTACTTGCTACAGTCAGTAGTGCAAGGAATTAGGTCATGTCGGCTTGCTACACCAATCACACCCTCTTGGCCGACGTGCACTTTATGCTCAGTTGGTTCCCCAACAAACGGGTAACCTCGTGAGTTCCTCCATCACCCCTCCAGCACCAGGCGAGGCGGATCGCCCGGTGCCAGGTCTATTACCTCTCGTAGGAGTTGTTATTAGACTGGGTGGCCTTAACAATGGTCCCTACGGTGACCCATTTCTTCCATGTTCCAGCTACCCTCCGGGTTAGCACCGTGTCTTCCCCTCGAAAGAACCGTTCTGTCGTCGTTGCTGAGTACTCTACCATGGCTCCCAAAGGGAACGTCTCGGTGACATATGGCAACCCTTGTTCCCTGAGGAGGGAACAAGGAGACGTCTCGTCCCATCGCCATGCTTGCTGAACCTTCGCGGAGGACTGGACACCACCCGGCTCCTCAGCGTAATACATATGTGTGTGTGCTCACTTCCGCATTATACCTGCAGACGGGGCGCGGGATACAAGTCCTTCATACCATTATTCACTGGCTTGTTTTAATTCACTTGGAGGCAATTGGTCTCCCTAGTGTGATCTCAATTTGTTGGAAACTCCTCAATGAGACCTCTCCGTTCCCTCTTAAGGGATCGAGGGTTACCATATGTAACCAAGATGTTACCATATGTTCATGCTCTTTGGTTATGACTATACTTACACAAAATCTTACATGAAAACTCCTCTGTGCAACCCTTACCCCCCTTATATGTTTGTTTATCAAACCTTTTGGCTAATTTTATTTTTTCCCCCAAGTAACAGTTAGTATATATTAACCTTTTCTCAGCTCTGCTTACCATTTTTATAAATTCAGCAGACAACTACAATACAATGCCGATAATTCTGTCTTGGCGTATAGTTGTGATGGATGCTAGTCATGCAACATAGTTACTGTAGCCCACCATGTCATCCCTTATTGTGCACAAATGTTTTTTGTTTAAAAACATATATAAATATCAGTGGAGCCTTTGATCAACAGGCTTAACAACTGGCTCTTTAAAAAGTACAGGAACATGGTGACCTTTTCTTCTGCATGGAGCGCTTGATACAGTGCTGACAGTTATTTCTGCTCCGACTGCGCTCAAATGCATTAATGATAATTAAAACATTATGATTTCTGCTTGCATTCATTTGATTGGCCCTAAAATATAAAGGTTATACAAAAGGGCTCCTCTAACAGTAATACTTTATTTTTTCAGCATCATTACTCCAGTCTTCAGTGTCAAATGATTCTTCAGAAATCATTCTAATATGCTGATTTGGTGCTCAAGAAACATTTCTTATTATCTTCAATGGTGAAAACAGTTGGTGTGCTGCTTCATATTTTTGTAGAAACTGTGATACATTTATTCATTATTTTCTTTGATGAGTAGAAATTTCAAAAGAACAGCATTTATTTTGAACATAGTTTTTTTTAATGTAGTTATTTATTTAGTTATTTATTTAACTTTAACTTTTCTTTGTATCTCAAATTATGAATATTTCACTCCTATGGTCAGATATCACTTTTGCACTGTTTTACATTGTGTGTGTGTGTATATCCTTAATAATTAATTAAAACAAAGGAAAAGATCATTAGAACCAGGCAAATATGTTCATTCTTAGTGACCAGTTCCAGAAAGCTTAGCATTAGCAGCATAGCTTAGCATTAGCAGCAACTTTTTAAGCGGAACAACAGACAAAACAAGAAAGAACAGATTTCACAGATGTCCCAAAACTAGTATAATTTGTTATCTATACCATTTACTGCTAAAAACTGTATTTTTTTTAAGGTTAGCTATGCTCTTAATTTTATTCACACATCTCTTTGAGGACAGAGCTGTGTCCTTAGTACTTTCCATATGAAAGGCCTTTAATTGAAACTAGCATTCATCTCAAGTATTCATCGAAGCCAAAGCATAAAGCCTCATCCTATTCTCTTTCAGGCCACTGCTAAGCAACAACCTACAGAGGATTTATTTTTTATTGCTCAGAAGGGTTTCGGTGAGAGGGTCTTGCATATTGATGCTTTTAGGGGGTCTGTTTTCCTTTCGGTGAAGGTTTAGGTGATAGAGGTGAAAAAGCCATGCTTTCTGTTTCTGATCCACAGACTTTTAGTCTCATCTTGGATTGAGAGGGTCAGGGAGTGGGGAGGAAGTAGAGATGGACATGGCAAAGCATGTGGATAACCGACATTCCAGACAAGAAAACATCATCAACATTGTAGAACGGTTCCTGTGTTGCTCTTGCTTCCGAACTGTTGAAAATGACTGCTTGGAGTACAGTCAGGAAAAGCCACAAAATCCCAAACCTGTCGTGGTAGAGGAGAATGTCCATGTCGTTGTTGAAGATTTGGGAATAGACAACCCTGGATTTAGCCTTGCTGAAGTTAAGCGCTACGGGCCACCACAACAGATCACTATTGGCCGCTCTGCTAGTTCTGTGTCCGTGTGCCAAAGAGCAGCGCTAAAGAAGAAGCTTGCACCACTTTCTTCTTTACCATTTCAGTCCAGAGTGATCCAGAACAATGAGGATGACTCTGCTGTTGACTCTCTTCTGTATGGTTCTGGCAGCATTAATGTTGAAGATGGTGGTCTTCTCACACCACCAGTCATTAACCTCATACCTCCGACACCTTCCGACGTAATAGATGACGACCAGTTCTTTGAAATAAACTCAGAAGAAGAAAGTCTGCAGCAAACTTCTGGCAGTGAAGGAGTGGACAGTATCGGCAGTGCTGCTACAGGAGAGAAGGAAGGGGAGGAAGATGTAGACCAAGATGTGGAGTTTGAAGGTAACCATGAGACCAAAACTCAAGAACGTCCACAGGTGGAGCCTCAAGACACAACCAAGAAGAATAGCATGGACAAGTCTACAATTCCCTTCCTGCGCAGCTCCTTTCAAGTACCCCCACTTCCTGAATACCCACGAAAAAGTAAGAGGCGTCAGCAGTGCGATGAGCCCACTGGCACGTGTACAAGATTGTAGTTAGAAGTGTGTAGTTTTGCTCTTACCATGATACATTCTGAAATAGTTACTTGTTTGTTTGCGTTGTTAGGAAGCCTCAATACTGGAATCAGTTTGCTGCAGTTCACTGAACATAATCTGGGTGAGTCTGTTTTGAATCGTTTTGAAGAGTCACTTCTAAATTTAACATTCTTAACAAATGTCATATGCACATTTGTTAGCACTATAGCCTATATAATATTTAGTATTTTTTTTCTATATAGTATAGAGTTATATAAACAGTCAATATTATTTATTTATTTATTTTATGTTTTACTGTTGCCAAAACTGGCATCAAAGTATGATTGATTGTTGCAGCTTGACAAATATTCCTGGTGTCATATACGGCACTTTTCACGAATAAGGTACAAAACTTAAAAAAAGCATACAGAAGAGAGTCCAAATTAATATTGAAATATTGTACTGTAACAATTGTGCAATTATAATTAGTTAATATTAGTTAGTGTATTTTTACTACAATGAATCAAATGTTAATATTTAAATAGGTATCAATAGCAATAATTAAACTGATCAAGTCAAACTTTTCTCAATATCAATTTTAATGGTTAAATTCCCATTTTAAGGAGGGAGCATACCAACATTTGATGTTTAATACTACCTGCTTAATTTGACTTTTTTTTTAACATCATGGACAACTACAGTGCACTGTATTTGTGGAATGTAGCTTATCACCAGAAAGAGAAGGAATCAGAAATGTTGAGTATTTTTTACCTAATCGCATTAAAATTATGGCGCATGCACGTCTACAAATATTTAGAGGTTGGTATGTGACACAACTATAGTATGTAACCTTTAATCACTGCTTAGCAATTTTCAAGAGGTGGCAGAAATCTGAAACGGTCTGAATAGTTCATCGTTGACGTATTGGCCTGAAATGCTGAAATCTTGCCTCTCATGACTCATTCTTTTTTTTTTTTTTTGGACAATTTTACTCATGTCCTCATCCAGGTGTGGTTTTCTGCAGAAAGGGCACAGTTCAGAGGGTGTGGGTGGACATGCCACTATGCAGGTCTCATCATGCACAAAGCAACTTCTCACAGCAAAAATATTTAGACCCTTTAGAGAAGTGAGCTGTTGCTCCTTTCCGAAAACTAAGGTGTTTATTGTTTGCTGTAGAGAAATGACTGTTTTTTTGTGACCAATGGGTAATCTTTTTAGGACAATGGTGTCTGGGCTGTGTTGAGGGATGGCCTTTGTACACATTTAAGCGTGAAGCCATATGACCTGTTTCCAAGCATTGTATTCCAGTCAAAAACCTTCACACGGTTGCTCCAGGCATTTGAAGAAGTTGCACAGATCGTCTATGAATGAGTCTGTCTCAGTGTCTGTTATACTTCTATTTGTTAGTACGCCATTGACAGTTGTAAATAAATGCTGACATCACACAGGTGTGCTTTACAGTAAAGCCTTCAAATGATTAACACTTGAATGTGTTTGTTCATAATGCACTTTTCTGAAAGTTCAGCGAGCTTGGTTTGGAGGACACTGTATTCTCTGGTGCTCTGTTTCAGACTGGTCCACAGTACATTGGGGCCCTGTGGAAACTGGGTAAACAGCTGGCAGGGCGGAAAGACTTAGATACTTCCCACGATCCCAAAGGCATCTCTCGCTCTGATCCTCTGAATATCTGTACCTCTACCTCCTTCAGCCATGTGGTATTTAATTAATCCAGTTCGCAATTTATTGGCTTTTTTGCTGGGAGGAGAATGAGTTGGACTGCAGCACATACAGAATGCATGTTATTCTCCTGCAGCAAGATCTGGTTTTGGCTCCCTCAGATCTTGACCTGTGTTAAGTCCTTGGATTTACTGAGTTTTCCCTCCAGTCTCGGGACAGGCTCTGCACATATCCTCTTCCTGTTCACTGTCTAGAACGACCAGAGGCTGTCAGAGGGCCGACTTCAACGACCGTGTGAAGTGGCCCAGTTTCTGAAAGCCTTCTATCATTTGCTAGACCATTTTAGCTCTGGGGACTAAACACTGTCTCACTTTCTCCCATTTGAAATTATTATGTTTTGTGCTTTTGTATTTTCTGTAAGTATCTAGTTTGTTTAAAAAGGACAGTTTCACACAGTCCATGAAGTTGAACCAATTCTGAATTTGAAAGGTCAATTTAATCTCACAACTGAATCACACTTGATAAGTCACACTCCCTTCCTCTTGCATGTCAAATTACATTTATTTTCATTAAAGCCGTATAGAAGTAATAATTTCATCAAGTTTTCAGTGCAAATCAATCATCAAGAACAAAAAAAAAACTACTGAGGTATTGCAGAACAGTTCTTAAACATTGTCACAATTGAATTTTAGTTGTGTGAAATATGTACATTTGTGTTCGGACTTCATACATCATTTTTGTGGGCATTAAGTGAAATTATGTATGGGATTTCTATTTTGAGGCATGATTTGCATGTGACTGGATATTGATATTATTCAGTGTTATTTATGTTTCTGATATGTTAGTGTAACGGAGGCCAGCTAGTAGTTGCTGTGCGAGTAAACCTCACTCCCCGATCTCAATAGGCGCTCTAGCGACAGACGCTATAGTCTGCAGTCTTTAACCTCCTTGTTAGCGCGCCCGACTCTCACGCCGGAGACCCGGGTTCGAGGCCCGCTCGGCGCGGGTTGAGTGGGACCCGAGTGTGAAGGGTTACATTAGTCATTACCATTATGTTGAAGACTTCCATTGTACAATTTTTTTTTGTCCTTGTGCTTGTATTGGAAACGCCATGCATACAATGCACGCCATACAAACAATTTTAACAAATAACATACTAACATGTACTATTGTTAGCTAGTAGTTTGCGACACAATATTAAATTTAGGTTTACTTGTCTGATTCATGACTTTTCAAGTGAGTTTCCAACAAAGTATTTCAGTTGAGTTTACATGTTAATGAAAATCAGTTCTGAAAGAACTTTAGCCAGAATCGCTTCTTATCCACAAAGTCAATGCTGTTTGTCTGGCACAACTACAATCACAGTCTTATCGCATTCAGAAAGTCAGTGGTAAATGTGTATTTATTTAAAATCGATGCCCGAAGAGGGAATGAGACGCTGCCTCAGCGCTGTGGGAATGCCCCTGCGCGTGTGCCTCCTGAAGCACGTATTGAATCAGAAATCAAAAACACAAGCGTGACAGCTTCTGATAGGCCAAAGCAAGTGCTAGCTGTTTTCCATTGCAGGCATGCTGGGAGTATGGCTTAACGATGCAGCATCTTGTTCCATCTTCAGGGAACTAGGGTTACAAACGTAACCGAGACGGTCCCTTTCAAGGTTGCGTCAACACTGTGGGAACGCTAATACCCGCATCGCCATAAGAACAAGTGCCCGTCGTGTGAAATCAGAGTGCACAGAGGACGAGAGCACCTGCGCCCTTGGAGTGGAGCTGAGGTCCAAGTCATAGAACCTAACAAATGTGTGCAGTGAGGACCATCCAGACAATAGAGTTTTAGAAGGAGCCATACTCCTAGTTGAGTGAGCTCGAACAGCCAAAGATGAGGGCTGACCAGCCAATTCGTAAGCAAGTGAGATGGTCTTGACCACCCACATGCTCATCCTCTGTTTAGATGCAGGACACCCCTTCCTGGTTGGTCCAAAGCAAACAAACAACTGTTTAGAGTTCCTCCACAGGGCAACACTGTGGACATAAGCATGGCACTTTTCCATTACCAGTACCAGCTCGACTCAACTCAACTCGACTCGGCTTGCTTTTCGCTCCGTTTTCCATTGCACACAGTACCGCTACAAATAGCACCCGGTCGTCAAAGCGATGCCTTTCGTTCCTTGTTGCCCTATGAAGCTATCCTGGTTTGACCACGGTGTATTCTTCCAAGTTGCCATAATAATAGTAGTAAGTTTAGTAACTATCTCTGGCCAAACTATTTAAAAATGGCGGGGATATTCCGGATACTCCATCTGGCGTGTGCAATGATGACGCAGTTAATGGTGACAATTCTCTCTGACCAATCAGCAGTCGGCATTGTTTTCACGTCCTCACGTCCTGTTTTCATCTCCTCAAAGAGTGCTCAGCGGAAGCGGAGCGTTCTAAGGGGAAAACGCTTGCAATGCTCGCAATCAGGTCCCTATATATATATAAAAACTCCTGCCTAGTGACAACTAAGGACAGACAAAAACACTTGAGACAATGATTCACATATATATGTATAGCACTTGCTGAAGGAACATAAACTGTTGCGCTTGTGTTTTTGGGGTGTTTAATAGTCTCCTGGTCGATGACGTCACCCGCCTATAACGCTTTGTCTCTCCATTGGACTGATTCCTTGCGTGCTTCAGGACGCACACACGCAGGGGCGTTCCCACAGCATTGACGCAGCTCGAGAGGGAATCTTCTTCTCCCCAGAAATTTTTGTGCATCACTTGTAGTTTTAGCAGTTGGACTCAGAGAAGCAGTACTTTCTTCTTGAGGAGGGAGTCAGTATCAGGAACTTGAAGGAGGGGAAAATGTTACGAAGTCTCTCTGTGTTGGCCCCATACTCACGTAAGCTTTTTTTTAAGGGGGCAGAGAGTTCATTGGAGAGACATGTGGGGTCTTATGTGATGCTCTGGGTCTTGTTCACACACCGTTTGAGGTAAATGTCTGAAATTGGAGAGAGTGAGCTTCCAATAATTCTCTCAGCTGTTTTGACAAGGCATTGCAGGGCCTTGTGGTCTAAATCATTGCAATTTCCAAACCATGTTGTTAGGATGCTTACAATTATTTCTCTGTAGAATGTGGTGGGGGAAGTTTGCCCTCATCAGTCACCGCACAGAGAGTCCTATGCTTTCTTGGAGTGATGCGATTGATGTGCAAACACAGAAACGTCTCAATCGACGTCAGAAACGTCTTAGTGCACTTTAAAATACCATGTACGATTGTTGTATGCTCCGAACACAATTTCGTTGCTGTCCTTTGGATAACAATGACAATAAACTAAACTGAACTGAACTGAATCCTGACTATCTCTTTTGGAGACCCATTGATGTGCTTTGGGAGGTGGTCAGTGCGGGACTTTGTGGAATCAAAGTCTCTGTTTATTTTGTCAACATTTAGAGAGAAATTGTTGTTTGGACAGCAGATGCTCCAGCTCCTTTCTGTATGATGACTCATTGTCGCTGATGAGGCCCACCGCTGCAATGTCATCCTCAAACTTGATGATGTGGTTTGTACTGTGTTTGGCACTACATTCGTGAGTCATCAGGGTGAACAAAAGTCCTAGTCCTGTGGGGCTCTAATACTCAGTATGATGGTGCCGGACCAGTTGTTGGCTATTCCGAATGTCTGAGTTCTGCCAGTAAAGAAATACAGAGAGAGTTATTGTTGTAAGTTTATCTGTGTCTTCAGAAATAATTATGTTGAACATATTTCATGATTCTTCAGAAATCATTCTTACATGCATATTTGGTACTCCAGAAACATTACTTGTCATTATACTGTAAGTGTTGAAAACACAACTCACCATATATATATATATATATATATATATATATATATATATATATATATATATATATATATTCCCCCATGATAATGGATATGACATATTGATTAATGCTGCTGCCGCCGCTGCTGCAGGGCAAGTACAGGAACTTGCTACTGTCAATACAAACGCCATTACGCTGCTGTGAGTATACTGCTGCTGCACAAATAGCATATATCAATAACCCATACTAAGTGTATAACCCTAAAATGTATAACCCATACATTTTATACAGGTGGAGCTGGGGAAGGTGGAGGGTTTTAGACTCTGAAAGCATGCTGCAAACTGCTATAGAGTATGTCTACATGTTTAACCAGCCTTTTAAATGTTGAGCAGCAAGCTCATTGGCTGCAGATGTGACATGAACCTATCAACTTGTGTCAAGTACTTAATGATGTGAATATCATCAATTTGGGTTAAGAGATTCATGAACTAGACATTCAGCACTAGGCATTTGTGCTCCTAAATATTTTAATGGAAACCAGGATGCTTTTTTTTCTGAATTTTTTGTGCTTTTACTTGCTTTGTCACCTAATTGTGTTCTCATTTGCAACTCCTTTTTAAACATTCTTGTTCACTCAAAGCTGTCCTGTTGGGCTGTGATACCCTAGTTTCTTCTGTCCATATTGTGTTTGAGAACCAGTTTGATGAAAGTAATTAGTATGAGTAGTGACAAATCTATAGGTTTCTATGGTCCTATCTCTATGGTCAGCCGCTCCACCCATGTTTTACTACATGTTTAATATTTCACTTTATAAAAGACACCAGTAATATTCCTCAGGCAAAGTACAAATATGTCACCGATGCCAAACACATACTATTCCCTATTATGCAGAATCACCAGGGATCAGACAGTGGGCTTTTGATAGGACTTAAGACCATCATTTCAGTGTGTCAATTCCCAGTACTTGTTTGTTTTTCCTGCTTTTTTATGAAGGAAGGGGAGGGGGTTTAAAAAGCATTGCGGTTATGGGAATGTTAGAATGTCTGCTGTCTGTGGGAAAACATAGCATGTCACTGTTCACTAAACTATGCCACTGGCCAGACAGTCCCTCACTTGTCCTTTTCACTGTCAACCCAGTTTTGCAACATCCCACAGTCTTACAGTGCAGTTTGCGGTGTGTTTGCATTTATTTACAGAACGTGCAGACAAAGCTTATGATTAAGTTTTGATGACTGATGCTACAGAGCCTGTATATGAAAAGAAATGCCCTCATTCCTTCCATAACATTATTAGCTCAAGTATTAGCACTAGCATACAGAGATTAAGTAGCTGTTTCCGGCTGACATTATTAATTTGACACAAATTCCAACCAAGCTTTCAAGTGTGTTCCACGGAGCACAATACACCAAATATGGTGTTCTGGATTGTCCAGACTTGAGTTTGGGACCATTTTTTCCCATGTTAGCTTGAAGTTCTACTTGTTTTGTTTCCCAGAGATGGGCTCAATGACCCAGACAGAGTTAGGGCTTCTCCAGATCCAAAAGTTATTTCCCATCAGCTCAGGGATCATGTGCTAATAGTGTTGACATCTTGTGTTGTTTTACTCATTTAGATGACCTGAGTGACAAGGATGCCAGCAGCCACGAGTTGCTAAAGGAAGAGTTGAGGCTACTACCGCTGAGCAGTAAGATAAGTATGCTAACCCACCAAAAGGTAAAATCACTCAGGATTACCTTTGTAAATAAAACGTTTATTAATTAATAGACATTAATATATTCCATACTTCACACAGAATACATTTAAAAGGTAGTAAACATGTGCAAATGTTCTTTTTTTGTCATCCTGTCACAGAAACTAGCCACTAGGTCCTGTAGTTTGGACGAGACGGTGGCGAAAAGTCACACCTTTCACTCCACATGCCAAGGGCAAAGTGAAATTCTTGAAGATGAAGAATCCCCACGTCAGAGAAGGATAACTGTTGGTAAAAATGTGATGTGACTTTGTATGCTCTCCCTATTGTATTTATTGTTTTGATGACTCATATGATATATGTTTTAGATAATTCCTACTTGGCCTTTTAACTAGGGTTACCAGAAAGCCTTTTTTGGTCGATAAGCTTCACAAGCATCAAGTTTTGCTGGTTGAGAAGTATGCAAAAGCAAGTAGTGTCCAAAAGCAAGACCCCAAACTAGCACTAATCATAAACTAGCATAAAAATTAAAGCTAGTCTTTTTAGAATGGCAGTGATCATGTTATTTTTCTCTTCCCAGCATCCTACATTCCCCAATCAATGGATCACACTGGAGAAAGTGCAGTGAAGGTATTGGCATTTTTGCTGTTTTTGTGTGCAAGATTGAGAAAAATATTCTGGAAACATTTATTTATTTATTTATTTTTGCTTTTTTGTGTTTTGGGGTTGATGATAATGCAGTTACTTTCATGATAACATTATGTAAGTTGTCTCATGATTTTAGTCTCTAAGTAAGTCAAAAGACATCCAGTAGCAGATTGTATATTCCTACATAATGTGAACATACACTCATATTTTAACACCAATTATTAGATGAGAATTGCAATATATGCTATATGCTGTTTCACATTAAAATAACCCACATTTTAATGTAGTCAGATTATCCACAGCTTATACAAGTACACTCATGCAGCGTTTCATGAGAGCACCAAAAATTCTCCATGGTTAAAGAAAACAACTCTTAATGTCCTATTTTCTGCCTTTTATGGTGGAATATTCTAACTTGGTCTTTTTTGTGTGAATACGTCTTCCATTGTGTTAATACTCTGCAGAACTATGTTCATGAACTGTTATTTCAAGTTGATGAATGTGTCTGCATGCATACATTAAAGTAATTTGTATCATGTATTGTGAGTTTGTCTGTATCTGTCTGTGTTCAGCAGGATTCTAATGGGTACAGTGCCAAAACTTTAGCAGGGCTGAACACGGAGGAGGTCTGCCAGTGGTTTAGTAATATTGGTCTACAGAAATGCCTGCCCTTCATTAGAGGTAAAGTGCAGTTAGCGCATTTGTTTTTGTCATTTTCCCACCCCCTTTAAATGTTTTAATTCCCCATACATTCAAAGAGACAAATGCTTAGACCACAAAACAATAACTCTTTAGAATTTACATTATGTATTACTCATTTGCACTTTTAAGTTATTGCATCATTATTAAGAAGTATTTCCATGCATCAACTTAAAAAGAGATGGAAAAACAACATTTACTAGCTAATACAACACCACAGAGACTTTTACCATTTCTAGCTAATGATTTGCAGTGCCTATTTGTTGAACATTCAAACCAATAAAGATCTATTTTGGAGATCCATTAGTTTTATTTATCAGAAGCAACATTTTGAAGAGATGTTAATAATACTGTTGTGGCTTTGGGTGGATCAAAACCTACAGAGGCAGAGTTCAGTGGATCTCACATCGCTTCGATTGATCTCCACACCCTTGAAATTCTTCAATTGTCCAATCTGGAGGAGAGAGAGAGGCTGCTGTCTGCCATCTACCATGAGTTACACCCACCAAACGCCACCACCCAAAGACTCAACTCCCTCCTGGGTACCATTGCACAATCATAACATGATCTGTTTGAGTTCACATCTCAGTACTTTTGTCTGTAAGTTTGTGGAAGCAAACCTGAACTTGTTTTCTTTCCCATAAAAGAAAGGGTTGGTCCACACAATGTTGAGAAATTTACAGCGGCTTTGGTGTCCATGACCAAGTCAAAATCTTCTCCTCAAGTCAGCAGCATCAATATGAACAGATGCTCATTCAAATTCAGGTAGTGCGTCCTTCCTCTCTTTAGAATGTAAAACGATGTGTAATAACAACTTGTTACCAAAATGGAATTATGTTAATGACAGTATTTAGAGATTGACCTGAAAAAGTGTCATGTTCTCTTTCACAGACAGAAAGAACAAAATGCTAGATTTCAGAAGAACTCCCATCTCATTGAAATCACAGTCAATGGTACCATTCTGCCTATGCATTTTTATCCCATCTTATATATATATATATATATATATATATAAGGTTTTGACAATTGCCTAAATCTGTCCGCTATTTTTATTTAGCATCAGAACGTACTGTTCACTTAAGGACACCCAAAGACACAAGTTTGGGAAAGGTAATGGAGTCCTGCCTGAAGATGCTGGGAATTAATGAAGACAAAGATCACTTTAAAATAAGAAGCAATGAAGGTCTGTATATAAAAGCCAAACGGAATAAATTATTTACAAATTTCGTCTTTTTATATGTATGAGGATCTACATTTTAGCCAAAAGAACTTATTGGAGACATTTTACAAATTGTTGTTGTTAATTTGTTAACTTATACACTACCAAAGATGACACCAACACTTGATAGTCAATGCAAATACTTGTATATTATTTGCAGTTAAAAAAAATGAATATAGTGATTTATATGTGCATCATATAATATATGATTTATAAGTGTATCCTTGGGGATTATGCACACATACACAAAATAAATGGACTTACGCTCAATTTATTGCATTATTTTTAGGGCTTTTTCTTTTGTCTTATTTGGAAAAGATTAGCCATTTAGTCTTGCATTTGGAGAGAATCATATATGGCTTGTGGCTTGTAAGTGCTCTGGAATTTACACAGTGAATTTACTTTTACATACCGTCTCTATTTTTCCACGTTTTTCAGATGAGTTCTCCCCTGAGCAGCAGATTGGAGATTTGCCTGGCTCAGAAACAAGACTAATGGAGCTTCACTTATGTAGGAAGGTATAGACAGAATTGCATGTTGTGAGATGAGTATTTCAATGGATTAAATGAAAACACACAAACGTAACTTTAAAATAAACTTTTTAAACTTTTGCCTCTCAAAACACAGAAAGATGGTCCTGGTTCCCCAAATAACATTTGTACCACTGATAATATTAAGAGCAAAAATCTGCTAAACAACACCGGCAAGATTCGAGAGCTTAACCAACAGGTGGCCTCCCTTCAAAACGTCATCATAGAGGTAAATACTCTCTGTTGTCCTGTTGGAGAAAGACAAAATAAAACCAGAAAAGTCTTCTTCTTTTTCAGCATTTTATTCAAATGAAGACTGGGGTTAGTTGTCACACCATGAACTATCCTGTTTTTGAGTCAAAAGTCCAGTAACCAAATGCTTATTTTCCTTCACAGAAATAGACTTTCAAAAATAAACCTGCCTTGAGGGAAAAATGTGACAACTAACCCTGTTCTCCTCTATTGCTTTTAATTGATCTATGTCTGTGTTATTACCAGGTTCAGGAGCTTTACCATGGACTGGTGGCCTTCTGTTCAGAGCTGAAGAAGATGGAGGGGGACATGGATGCAGTCCAAACAGACAGTTTGGAAGTGAAGAGGCTCCTCAGTGAAGCCCAAGACAGTCTTAAGAGGAAGAGACAGAGCCTTCAAACACTCAGGGAAAATCTTAACACAGCACCAGTGCAGAAGAATAAGTAAGTATGTCCTCTCATTGTAAAATAGAATAGAATGTGCTGGAGGTTAATGCAGAGTAGTTGAGTAATTACATGGGATTATCACATGGAATTGGATAGGGAAAAAAACTGTTCATTAATGCATCAGTCTTTATGGATAATGATGTGTTGCGTCTTCCAGAAGGACAGGCTGGAAGAACTGATGATCAGAGCTGGTTTTGGTTGCCCTCAGTGTAATTTCCTTTTTGAGACTGAACATCCTGAATTTTGATGCTCTGTTTACAGTCTGTTACAGTTTATTTTTCTGTGGCGTCAGTGCTGAAAGTTGCATTGGATGATGGTAATGGGTAGTCCACAGATCTTTCCTAATTTCCTAAAGTGCAGAGAAAACTGCTGCCCGGTCTGTCTCATGATTGGACCATTATGCCAGTGTTTAACGTACTTGCTTAACATATTAAATATCTGCTTGTTTCTGACAATGTAGGAAAGAAAGTTTCATCATTTACTCGGCCTTATGATATTTCATGATGTTGTTGTTGTTTTTTCATTGGAACACAGAAACTTTTGAATTTTTGATAAAGAACAGCCTTATCATGTGCAAATAGTTACTGTTGCAAAACAGGAATACATACCTGTTTAATTTATGAGGTGTGCAAATAAAGAGAGGGTGTTTGAGGAAAAAGCCAGCGTAGGTCTCACCCAGTAGTTTCCTGCTTTTTCTCCGATTTACGGCGTTTGATTTATTCTGACATCTTTTCGAGCTGGACAGATTGAAAGCAGGAATGGATAAGGGTGTTAGAAAATACCATCATAAATCAATATGTCCAAGTCCTCATTAATTACCTGATAAGCCACTTAACTTGAAGGCTTATTGTTTTTTGTTTCGTTATGTCCTTCATGTGCTTGGCCATTTCCCCAGGAAAAATGCAAACAAATCTTTCAAGTATCAGGGTTTTTGGATGACATTAATCTAAGATATTTGAGTCTGTGAACATAAGAGGTTTAGTCGACTTACATTTATTTAAGATTGAGCCACAAAATAACAAAAAGCCTAATCTTTGATATAAAGTGACAGAACATTGGAAATCTGTTCAGATCAAAAATAATAGTATTCTAAAAATGCTAAAAATGTTATATTCCAAGTCTTCTGAAGCTGTATGGCAGATTTGTGTCAAGAAAAGACTGAAGACTGAACTCATGAAAAAAAAAAAAAAATCTACAGAGTTTATATTTTTAGATGAACTGTTCCTTTAAAGGTGCATTGTGTAATATTTAGGAGGATCTGTTGACAGAAATGCAATAGACCTTGTCACTATGTTGTTCTTCGTGCAAAGAAGCTTGCTAAATTCAGTGAATAAAACACTGACACAATAATGAAAAAGTAACAATAATATTTGCAATAACACTGTTTTACTGACTAATCAAGTAAAACTAATTTCTTAATTTATCTTTGTATAGAAACCTTATTGCTTAACTGGCTACTCTCTACTGTCCCATATGACAACATCTTTTCCTGTCGGCCACCGTAAATTCTGTTGGTTGCAATTCACAACCTCACCACTAAAAGCCGCTAAAAATTACACAGTGCACCTTTAAGAGAGCTTAAGGGAGCAGCTTGTGTTTGTTTACTCCTCAGGCCTTCAGAGGTCCGACTACTGGAGAAGATGAGGCTAAATTGCCAGGTGTTTAAAGATGAGATCACACTGGTCTACCTAAATCGGCAGGTGGCTCACCTGCGTGAAGTTCTAGAGAAGACCCAGGCCAAGGTGAGACTGGCACTCCCAATCTAGTTTCTCTAGGTTTTCAGAGTTTCCTGTTTCAGTATAAAATGATATAGTGCTGACATGTGAACGCAGGCCAGTAGTTATTATTTTAGACCACATTTTAATGAGGCTGAACATATGGTACTAATGTGAGCATTACAGTCTTGGTTTTTCCCAATATGCAAGCACTTTGTTGGACATACAAAAACACTTGGGAAAAAATGAATGCAGTTAATCGGCTTTTCTCATAATGTGTAATATATACTTTTTAATGTTGCCATCTTTAAAACTTCTCTTGCTTCCCATGGCGTTTCACAATGACAGTCACCACAACAGTGAGCCATTGCCACCAACACCACTCATTTTTTTTTTCAAAAGCCAGGATGACACCAAACACTAGTGTAAAACTATCCGTGTTGTGGCCATAGCGGTGATTCTTTCCCACCTTCATTCTCCTTTAAAGCGGCTCTTTCATCTCATCGGTAGAAACCTAACGAGGTGCCATGAAAGGACACATGCCGACCGGGACTTTGTAAGAAAAGAGCGTGTCACGTTGCCGCCCTCAGGCTACAGTCTTTAGGTGCTGAGTTGGTGGGAAAGAGGTAGTGCCGCTAATGTTTATCATATGACCTAATCAGGGGAAAGGCGCAGGTCAGGCCACAGAGCAGTCTGGGAACTAATACAAGCCTTGGCCCTAATAAGGAGCAGTCTGACATTTATTTTCCCTAGATTATCTGACAATAAGGAAATATTTCATCATCGCCTCTAATCTCTGCAATCCGTCGCGACTGCAGTGCATCAAAAAAAGACGGGAAGAGGGAGGGCCGAGTTGTTAAAATAGAGCGAAAAATAACACATGGCTGCTAACGTGGGGTCTAGAGCAGAAATTCAAGGATTTGAGGGAAAAACCCCTCTAAATAATATGGCCCAAATCTTTTCTAACCTTCCCTTTTTCGTATTCCAATTGAATTACATTTCATTCCCCTTCAGGCCAGAGATGTAGTAGTGGTTGCAGACCCAGATTAGGTTTCACTATTCTGGTGGGAAAAGGTTGTGGAGATACTGTGATTGTGGCCAAGCACGAGAGCTCCCAGTAGTTGGGCTCACTTTGATTGGTCCCTCTTTCCCAAGTCTTGGTGGTCACTGTGTTGAGCTGCACTGGCGGCTAAAAGGCCCAGTGGCTAATAGTTGTGGCAGCTTTTGGCTCTGGTTGGGATTTATAGTCCATTTTGAGGTTGCCATTTTACTGCATGCAACACTACCTTCCAGGGCCCTGCGAATCCTTTATTGTAACTGACAGTGCCTCACTTATATCATTAATACCAGCCACACTTTTCTAACTGAGTCCGAAATCCTTTCTCATGCGAAACACAATCCTACAATCCGGGGCTTGGCACGACTTCCTCTCCCATCTCATAAGAGTTAGGGGATTTCTGAAGGTGTGCCCGTTTCTCAACCAATTGTTCTTGTTCTTCCCAAACATCTACGGTTTAAAAGACAGTTGCCAAGTTATAATCTGTATTTCCATTGTTCAGCTTGCTCTCTAGTTTCTGTTTGCTCTGTGTCCAGTATCTGTTCCCTCACCTCACTCCATCACTAGGTTAGTATGAAGGCTGGACGACATTACGAGCAAATGAAAGTGGACTGAAATGATTAATTCTTAAGTGCCTTCCCTTTTTTGCTTCTCTTAAATAATTGAGTGAGGCCTGAGCTATGCGTCCTGCCCTAGGGAATCCAAACAGTGGGTTGATCAGGGCTCCTAAGCATTTCTGCAGGGGGGTTTCCTGTGTGAGCGATCCGTCTGGTGCCCATGTCTGGGGAGAGGCTCAGTAGTCTTGGCCGCAGGGCTTTCACACGCCAGGAGACTCAAGCCCTCACCTCGACTTTTCTGCTGCTTGTTCAGAGAAACCTGATCACTTTGCATCTATCTATTCACTCACTTCCTGTATTCAGTCTTTGTCTCAGCTATTTGTTATATACCAGTGATGAAATCATTAGTCATGACACGTTTTGGCCCCTATATGCATTTAAATGCAAGGAGGGAAACACCTGTGTGACAAAAACGTTACTTAAAATTCTGCTTACTCCACAAATAATCAAGCCAATTTTCTTTTCTTTAACACTTCACACCTTTTCAAGGTCTATAAAATGAGAGCAGTGTCTCATTGAGGAGAGCATCCAGATATTCACTGATGCCATTTCAGCAATTTTCTTCTTCTTTTTTTCCTGCAGGAGAAAGCTGAAATAAAGAGTCCTACTCTGACTCAGCTAGTCTCTTTGCAGTCTCCTGTCATGCTGGTGGCCACCCAAGTGAAAGCAGACTCAGACGGTCATTATGGTTTCTCTGCACACTGTGTAGAGGGCCAGGGATTGATGGTGGTACACACTGAGGGTGCTAGTCTCTGTCGGAATGACAGGTAATTGATATTAAAATATTTTAAGAATGTCTATTTGATTATTTTTTTACCATGTCTTCAAGCTTTCTTTTGCCTGCACCAAAATGTTATTGAAACATTTAAAGGAACCAGTTCACCCTAAAATGGAAATTGGAACAGCATTTTTGTGCAGTCTATTTTTTTTATGATTTCCACCAAGTATAACCTTTGGGTCATAGTCCTAAAACAACTGAAATACTAAAGAATGTGAGATCAAAGAGGTCAGCTCAGTGTAATGGATGTTTTGATGAATTAAGCCTCTAATTGGCCTTTCATAAAACATGCCAAGAAACATCCCAAATTTTCCAGCCTTTAAGAGAAGAGAGGATCACAGAGGTTCCATCAGCTTGTGTGTTTTTCCCCTGTTGCTATGGAAATTTGTAGGAGACAGGGAGCATAACAGGAAAACACTGAAATGTAAAATGTGGGTGGCTATGCACAAGGAACAGATACAAACATGAATAATACCTAGTTAAGTATTACATTTTTGAGCTGGGTTTTGCAGAACATAATAACCTTATGCATGCAAACACATGTACATAAACACAAATAAAATTCAAGTTATAATTAAGTGGAGGATGAGGACCAGAGGGAGGGGGGAGGAAAAACATACAGTAATAAAAATTAGCATATGCACCCTCTGGAAGATGGGGATCTGAGTAACTGCATGTGTTTGGTAGCTAATTGCCAAACCTTTGGCAAGATTCTTTTCACAGTCAGTAAATGAACATAAAGGCCAACGTCACTTTTCTATTTTCAGAAACACAGTGCTTTAAGTAAAATCTAATGAGTGCACAAAATTTAACAGGCTTAAAATCAGTTTCCATTAAGATTCTGGAGATTTAATTTCACGCGTGGTGTGTTCTTATAACTTATTAGAAACGCTAACTATTGGAACCACAATGTGTAAAGTTGTTTTTTTTTTTTTTACCTCTTATTTAGTTTTCAGCAATGCAAAAATATTGCAATAGTTATAAGAGGTTTCTCACTCACACACACACACACACACACACGTTTTCATGTTTTATAGGGAGATTCCATAGACATAATGTGTTCAAATTTATATTAGGACCCCTAATCCCACCCATCACAGAAAGCTTTCTGCATTTTTAGATTTTCAAAAAAACATCACTTAGTATGATTGTTTTCCTCATGGGGACCAAAATATTTCCTCACAAAGACAAAGATTTCGGATGTTGGCAACTTTGTGGGGATAATATTGGATTGTATATTCTATGTATTGTATGTAGCTTTTGAAACATGACATCATGTAATTTAACGGCGTCTCGTGTGTTTTGGACGATGCGTGACTTTGGAGACACTCTGAAGGGAAGGTGGGATCTAATGCTTTCAAAGCTAGCTTACAATCACCAGATGCTCCGAAATGGCCTACCCTCCCTCAAAATAAATATCCACACTGCTGCAATTTGATCCTTTCTCAACTTTATTGCAACCGGACCATGACACCATGGTCTCCCATTAATCGAAAACTGTAAACTACATATTTGTTTTCCAATTACTAAGTTGGTACTGTCACGATACACACACAGGAAATGGTGAGACCCAAATGCAGTATTTTATTAGGGTAATCTGTACTCACAAAACCAGTCCAGGCAAGGGTCAAAATCCAAATAGTCAGTCCAAACACAAGAACATAAACAAGAAAGCAGCAAACCAGAACTTCAGATTCTGGACTCTGTGACAAACACTGACAGACAGGGTATACATACACATAGATACTAACACGGTGAAGGGAACAGGAATGTGCAATGATCAATGAGTCACAGAACAGGATGATGGGAAATGTAGTATGAGTGGTGGAAGAGGACCTCTGGTGGTTACCCAGGGAAACACAAACCAGACACTGTGACCGGTAGACTGTTTTGCCTTATCTTTCCAATGGAACCAAATTACCCCTTTAAAGAACAGTTACGTAATGTCCCTGTTAGCAATGCCATCAGTGTTATTTTTCTGAGGTGTGTGTGTGTCTCTGTTTTAGGCTGGTGGAAGTAAACGGAGTGAGCGTCTTGGGGAGCAGTGAGGACGAGCTGAAGTTGCTGCTCAAGACACACATTGCCCACATCATTGTCTTACGCCAACTGGCCCAAGAGCTTTCACAGGAAGACCCTTCTGGCCTGAGTGATCACCAGGACATGTCAGAAAACACAGTCAGACGCATCTGACACAATCACATCTGATGTTTTATCCCACTTATTTATCGTAATGACATTTGTCTTGTCTAGAAGAGGTTTATATGTTTAACCTGCATTACATTTTCTGGGTCATTTCGGGGCAGTTTAATTTTTGGGAGGGTATGACTTCATGTTTTGGGTTGATAGTAATGTAACAGCCATAGTCTCAAATAATGGGTGGGTCAGTCAAAAAATTGCTCATAAAAATGGCAATTGCATGGGAAAAAGGCATTCTGAATTCTAAATTGCATTGATCCATGAAGGTCAAGTTAGCAAAATAAATCATTGTCAAAACTTTCACTTTGTACAGGCAGCTGTGGTGAAATGGAAGGCATGGAAACTTTTAAGACTGACGTTAATGAGAATATAGATATCAAAGCTAAACCTTTTGAAAATAGCTAAATATTTATTTCCATGAAAATGTCTCATGTAGTAAAAACAAATGAACCACTTGCTTGTATTAACACGATGTTAAAGGGGGTTTTTATTTTTATTTTAATTTTTTATTAATTTATAACTTTGTACTTTTATGAAGAGGTCTGATTAATGTGTATTACAATATGTGAAAACCTACAAGCAGCAACCATAGATTATTTCACAGAAATCTGAGAACAAAAGAAAATATATATGTTTTTTCCTACATCTCTCTTGGAAAAACAGAAGAGACTTGTTCAGGTATGGAATATGCTGTCGGGAAGGGCTCAATCTGTGCTCTGATCTGACATTTTTGAAGTGTTTTTAGTAGATTAAGGCAAAATCTATGTTAAAGGAAAGCCACACACACACACACACAAAGTGTGACAGATGTGCTTTTTTAGCCTCACATCTTGATGCCTCTGTGGACCGCATATATCCGGTCTTGTGGTTCAACCTTGTGGGTTTCATTGTAAGCCTATTAATAAAGAGACTGGGCATTCTAACTGGCAAGTGGGACCCGCAAATGGAGGGAGGTGACCTGACCCATGATCTCTTGACCTTTGTGGTGGAATTATGTGGTCATGTGAATCTAACTGTGGGAGTTGAAGAAAATCTTGAGGAAAGGAATTCTGCCATTACTGACAAAGTGGAAGTGAATTACACTGTGCGTAAGTATGTTCAAGTACAGTGCATGATTCATTTGCCATTGTTCAGACTGTGTTCACAGAGTCAGTTTTTCTCATAGGCAGCTGAAATGTACTTTGCATAAACACTAATCCATGGTACAACTAATACATTCATCAAAACTGTCATTTCCGTCAGCAAACAAATATGCCTTCGGTGTACTGGCACATGGGAAGTATTAAACAATCAACAGGAACTGTCCATCCAAACTTTATGCGATAAAGATAAAACATGATTTAGCTGCACAAACTGTTCACACAAGGGAGGGCAATCCAAACACACTTTCATAAACAGTGCTGCTGGCAAGGAAAGAAAGACATTGTGGGATTCTCAATAGCCTACGCCCTTCCCCACCCTCTCTAGTCGTGACATGTCTCCTAAAAATGCTCTGTCTTTATTTTCTTTTTGATAAAGGAAGATAACCAACCAATCATAAGAATAAGGTAGTGAAGATTTATTTATAATAATATGAAAATCATAACTAGTTGTGCAAGAATTTAAAAAAGCATGAAAATAGAATAAAAAAAAGAACTCTTCTAACATTAATGAATAACTACACAGGAACAAATGAGTAAAGCAATATTAACATTCTAGATACTCTGATTAACTAATTAAGTAGAGCTCAGTTGAATGAACTAGGTCACTATTAGCTAATCAACAACCTTACAAAAACCTCAAAAGCGTACAATGACTTCAGTCATTACTATGGAGTTACCATGTTTTTCACTTTAAAATACTGTTCCAAATAATTCGAAATTCCTTCTGAAGGATTTGGTAATACATGAGTCATTACTAATGGGTTATCATGATCTTTACTTTAGAATTAATGATAAAGTATACATTATTTACATTAATTATGAGCCTGTATAGTAGTTCTTTTAAGTCCTCAGGGAGGAATGAAAAAATAGTGATTAGCTAATAGTGAACTATACCTCATTCAACTAAGCGAACCACGTTTGTCCATAGCTATTCATTAAGGACTAAACAGAATTCTAAAGTGCTACTAAAAGAAATTGTGCCAAGAAATATTGAATATATCTATATGGTGAAAACAGTTCTCTCGTCGCTTGAGGGCAAAACATGTTTTTGTTTCATGTGTTTGATTGTTTTTTTCTTTTATTTCTCTGACAAAAAACAAGTCTGGTAACTATAAAAAAGACACATGGCCCAAAGCCTAAAATTATTATTAATCTCTTAATCATCAAGATAAAAGCTGCAGTGTGAACAGAATGTGCTGATTGACAGTGAAGATCAACCATAACAAACAAGAAAATGTGTTCATTATTGCAAATTATTAGCATTTTTGCAACTAGTTGATCATATATATTTAGTTTAATTTGCCCCTAACAGAGTATCTGTTCATTTTATGTTTATTTAACACATGTTCAAATGAGCACTGTCCTAATTGCGTTGTATCTTTCTTTTCTTACTCTGCAGTTCTTGAAATGCGTCCAGACCTGTCATCTGTGTGTGGAAGACGTGAGGATGCCACAGCATGAATATTCCCATCATCACAGCAGGCATTGCTCCAGTGCTGACTGTCAGACATAGCTGCTAAAGTTTATGGAGCAGAAACATTTGCCGCATACAGACGTATGGCGCATTTCTGAGGGATCGCCTTCCCTCTGGCCAAAAACCTCCATATATGCATTCTGTTAGGATCTGAAGCCAATAAAAATAGTTTGGCCTCCTTAAGGGGGGAAAAGTTTCTCTTTAACAAATGGAGGGGGCAGTTCGGCATTTCTGAGCTGTTTTTTTTTTTTTTTTTTGGTTGGTGTTGAAGCAAAGTGAGGGTGGCTGTGGCTTTTCGAGGCTTTCTGGTAGTCTGTACTTCAACTTAACAGCCAGTGCAATACGTCCAAAGGACATGGCATGTGTGCGTACCCAATTCAAAGACTATATCAGTTCAGTCAGCAGGGCCGTTGACGTATCGGTTAACATGGGCACGTTTATCCTTGTAATGCATATGATGTGTGTTGTTAGTGTCAGTTGATATTTAAATATAAACCCAGAGCGTTTCGACCTTATGGTGTGTGTACAGAGTTAAACAGCTGCAGACAATCGATCCAAGTACACACAATTTAGCCTTCTATCCTTTCACTCCCTCTTTACATCCGAATGAGTCATTCAAGGCAAGGACATTTAGACATTTCGATATCTGCCAAGTTCCATAATGACCTGCTATGACAATCTTGTCTCCATTTACTCCAAACATCACTGGATAGACTCACGTAGCGGCCAAAATGGGTCACTAAAGATGATGGAAAGGAGTCTGTTATTAACAACATATGCTATTTTAGCATATATGCATTTTTGGATCAGTACTTATAGGAGGAAGATGTACTAGTTGTGCACTCTTGCATTGCGCTTGTTGGCTGACCCTTGAATCGTACAGTAACACCCCTGGGCGTCTGTTCTGTTTTAGGATTGTAGATATGACCATCTACAGCCTTCCAGATAAGCAGAAGCAGACATCTATCTCTCTCTCTCTCTGAACTCAGCACTTCCAGGTTCATCTCTCTTCCTTCTGCCCCCATAACACGAGCCCCACTCCTGCCCACCCGACATTTAAAGAGCTCCTGGCATGTGTTTGAAGTTAGTGTAGGCATTAGCTCTGGTTTCCTGCTTCAAATCCCTATGCAGGCCCAATAAAGGTCTGTAGGTTGAAAATTCACTGAAGTGGATTACTCCCTGTACAAAAATATAATACAAACAAACTTGGCATTTACTGGCTATTATGAAGAAATATCTGGCACCCAGTGACCTTCTTCCTCTCTATGGTTAGTCTGAGATGTCTATTCAGACAGCACCCTTTGTAATCTCTAACTGCCTCAATATCAGTTTATCGACAGCTGCCCAATTGATTAAATAACACAGTCTCAAGACATCATACAACTGACTCTTTTGACCATACGTCAACATCCGCCATTTTAGGGTACCCTTAAACGTCGGTTAGATGACAATCCTGGGGCGTCATCCAACTGACGCTTTACCTTTAACGTCAGTTAGGTGACGGGGTAGGTTTAGGTCTGGGGTAGGGTTAAGGTTAGATAACGTCATCTAACCGACGTTTAAGGGTACCCTAAAAGGGTGGATGTTGACGTATGGTCAAAACCGTCAGTTGTATGATGTCTTGGGCTGGATTAAAGGGTACAACGGGGCTAAAAGTACACCCTGGGGAAAATTAGCCCCATAGTGTAGGATTACAGAAAAAAATATGTTTTTATTAAACATTGATAGATGAACATTGATTTTGTGTGAAAATAAATCATAAAACTTGTTTTTTTGTTTGTTTAAAAATCTTGTATGAGGTGTCAAGGTGGGCCTTTACCCCACATGGGGTAATACATACATAAATTATTTATACAAATACTTTAGCTAAAATAATAGATAAGTCAGAGTTAATATTAGTTATTAGTTTGAAACAATCACTTTATCAAATTTTGTACTATATGTTCAGCTTATTTTGAAAATATAATAATTTCTTTTTGTACAATAAATACTCTGTAATAAAAAAATTTAAAGATGCAGAGACACATTTAATGTATATATATATATATATATATATATATATATATATATGTATGTATGTATATATATGTGTTAAAAAATCATTTAAAGGAGAACTCCGGTGCAAAATAAATCTTTCGTTTAATAAAACATCGGCACCTAGTCAGCCGTTCTCTATGATTTGTTTGCTTGATAATCGAAGAGTTTTATCTCCAAAAACAGTTTAGCGTATAATGCTAGTACTTGGGGCATTTACTAAGTAAAAAGAAATCGCTAGTAACGTAATGCAAAATGAAGCATTGAGAACTTTGTAAGTGTACAGACCGTTTAATAAGAAGAGATTTTATAAAGACAGTTCATTTTGTGTATACAGGCGGCGCCATCTTTGGAAAACATTCATGACAAGTCAAACCACGAACAACGTGCTGAGTGATCTGAACTGTATGAAGTTCAGCGAACTTCTGAACTGTATGAACGCCGTTCGGGGATCGACTTATCGAGACTATTTTCTAAGATGGCTCCTGTCTGTATACACGAAGTGAACTGTCTTTTTAAAGTATCTTCTTATTAAACGGTCTGTACACTTTTCACAAATTTTTCAATGCTTAATTTGTATGTATGGACCTTCATTATGTTACTGCGTTAGTGTGGGGCTATTTTGAGCCTTGTTAGTGGTATAAACTAGCGATTTCTTTTTACTTAGTAAATGCCCCCAGTACTAGCATTATACGCTAAACAGTTTTTAGAGATAAAACTCTTTACATTCGATTATCATGAAAACAAATCTCAGAGAACGGTGTACCGATGTTTCATTAGACCAAAGGTTCATTTTGCACCGGAGTTCTCCTTTAATATAGCTTTACAGTAGTAGTACCAAATGTTGTATTATATGACATGATTAATATCACATTTTTAAATATGTTTAATTAAATATGGTGATTATCTCTAAGGCGGACACCCAACTTGATTTAGCATCTGAATCTAACCAACAACAACTGGCAAAGGCAGTCAGATGTTTATCATTATGTTAATTATTGTGTCTTTAGCCCCGATAGGGGGCCTTTCACTCCCTAATACTATACTTTTACATATTCTTAGATTATTGAAAAACTGTTGCTGTAATTACCTTGAACAAAACTGAAAAAAAAAACATTAAGAAGACCTTTATCACAAAATGTAGTCAATAATTTTACTGATTCTCATTTAATACATAAATCTACAACATTTTAAAAACATTAGTTCAAATTAGCACTGAATCAGCTTTGCATTGCTGTCCGCGATCACGTCAAGGATCAGCCAAGTGTATCATCAAAAGCTGTCGTTAAAAGTGCCGAGCTGAATTTTGTGGTTTTAAAGAGAATCGTCTCAAACTGCTTATCTGGACATAAGTACTCGTTCATTCGACTTTTGGCCTATAATCTATATTGAACTTGCGGAATCAACAATAAAATCTATGTTGATTTAACGACAAGCAGGTGAAAGAGACACATTTAGCCGTTTAGCCCCATAGACTCCCATTCATTCTGCGCTCGCCCGCGATCACCTCCAGTGGAATTCTAATGGGACTGCAACCAGATGATACACAATAGGGCTAATAGGAAGTGTCAAGGCTCTCCGTTAGACTATAGACGAATCCGGCGAAACTACCGGAAGTAAGCGGGCGCCATTACTGAGCTGTTGCTGGGTAGCGTTGCGCCATTGCCTCCTATTGTTTTAGTTGCAACTTGCGTCCACTGGAATAAACAGCCCACGATTTACGACTGTCACTAACGTTACAACGTTACCCCTTGTATAATGTCGAGTGGGTAAACAGTTTCCGTTATAAATTGTTTCAATGGTGGCAGTAAATTTTCAATTTTGAAGAGAAAACATTGTGAATACCCCGGGTCGACTGCCCCTGTCTGGTGCCGTACGGTTCACAGATTTCCTGGGCGAGTACAAGACGCGGACATTCGCGTATAATTACAATTATTTAATGACATAAGTAAAAAAATATAATAAATATGTGATGTAGTGATCAGCAAAATCTCCTCTCTTGCTATTTTTTTCTATTCAATTAACATGCTATGGTCATTAAATGGCTTTCCTGAGCTAAATGTAACGTTATGCGACATAATTGTTCTCCTGCTGTTATATTGACCTCTTTCCATGGTTTAAAAACACTAATTGGTCGTTATTATGTATACTTTCTAGCTGTAACGTTACCTTACCCTTGCCCGTTGCAATGTGAAAATGAGATAAATAATGGACACAAATGAAAAACATGAATTTGTTTATTTGATTTCATTCATTTATTTATTTATTTATTGTTGCCAAATGGACAGATCTTTTTTATAGTTTCCTCTTTAGCAAACGTTAGCCTAGCTAGCTTGCCAAGCTATTTTCATAAATAATCTGTAAGATCGTTTACCTTCATCTGACTGGAGGCCGCTGTCTAACATCATCAACCCAACAAGTCATTCTGCCTGGCTGTAGCTGTCATCGAGGGTGCGTTCGCGTTATCACCGAGGTTTGTTTACATACCTACCTTTTCCGTTTTGTCTGACTTGTCGTTGTGTTTTCTGACTTGTAAATTTGTTTTCAGATTTGTCGTTGTGTTTTCTGACTTGTTAATTTGTTTTCAGATTTGTTTTTGTGTTTTCTGATTTGTTAATTTGTTTTCAGATTTGTTGTTGTGTTTTCTGAATTGTTATTTTGTTTTCTGAATTGTCGTTGTGTTTTCTGACTTGTTTTTTTTTGTTTTTATAATTGTGATTTGTTTTGCACCTCTCGGCCACCGTACGTATATGCCGGTGTAACAGCATAGTAATGGCGTCGCCACAAGATGGCAGCCTACACAGAACGCTCATCGGATTCGTCTATTGAATAAAGCGTTTAAAAAAAAAAAAAAAAAAGGCTCTCCGTTAGACGGGTTCTGGCCAATCTCTGATTGGTCTTGCGTCATGACGTAATGTGTGACGGCTCATAGGCGGAAGCTATATAAGGACCCGGCAAACATGAGACGTCAGCTTTGTGTTCTTGATCAGCAAGCGCTATATGTACAAACTGTCTGTCTTATTTGGTGTTGTTTGTCCTATAAGAATTGTCCTGTAGCCTATTATTTCAATACGGAATTTAGTGGCTCGGATCTCGCGTTTGCCGAGGCAGCGTGTAGATTACGAGTCTGATCGGCAATAAAGATTCTGTGACTGGGATCTCGCGTTTGCCGAGGCAGTACGTTTATTAAATGTCTGTATTGCAATAAAGAATCCATAGTGGCTCGGATCTCGCGTTTGCCAAGGCAGCATGTAGATTACGAGTTTACTCTACAAGATTCTGTGACAGGGACCTAGCGTTTGCCGAGGCAGCGCGTAGATTTCAGGTCTGCATTGCAATAAAGACTCTATAGTGGCTCGGATCTCACGTTTGCCGAGGCAGCGTGTAGATTACGAGTTTACTTTGCAATAAAGATTCTGTGTAGGTGCGGGGCATGCACAGTCAGCTCCTGAGGGCGCTGGCTGTGTTCATTGACAAATATCTCGACGTACACACAGCCGTGCGTTCGGGTGTTTCAGCCTCGTGCCCATTGTTTCAGCCTCGTGCCCACACATGGTAAAAATGCAGAAGAGGTTGCAAAAAAAGTTGAGAGACGATATGGTAAAAGTTACATCTTGGCTTAATCAGAATTCTCTGAGGTTAAATGTGGCAAAAACAATTTGTAGGCTATGTTCTTTTCTGAAGGACATGATAAAAAAAAATAAAATAAATAAAAAACAGGACATTTTTATTTCAGTAGAAAGAGTACAAGTTGTTTCAGAATGTAAATAGGGGTACATCTGGACTCCTATCTTGGTTTTAAAACTCACGTAAAAAAAGTTTGCAAAAAGACTAAATTTAACTTGGTTAATTTAGGTTTATTAGAAATTGTTTATCAAATCAGGCAGCAAAGATATATTTCCATTCTATGATTCTTTCTCATGTCATATTGTTTGACAAGCTGGTCAAATACACATTTGATAGTCCTAAAACCATTAGAATCACTATACAAACAAGCACTAAAATTTTTAGATAAACAATTCAGTTTTCATCACTGTCACATTTTAAGTATAACCTGTTTAACTGGGAAAATCTAATCAAATTTAAAAATGTTTGTTTAGTTTATAGGATTACGCATGGTTTGGCTCCACCTCCTTTGGCAGATTTTATTAAATCTAAATCTGTTGAAAACAGAAGTACAAGAGGTGTAGTTAGAGCGGATTGTATAATTCCACATAGGAAAACATCGTTTGGTCAAGCTGTTTTCTCATACAAAGCTTCACGTCAATACGGTACCTCAACCAATTAGACAGTGCTCATCATTTAACTCTTTTTTGCTTAATCTTAAGAAATGGCTACTTCAATGTGAACATTAATGCTGCTCCTCTATTATTAT